TGAGGGAGGCAAAGCAAGCCAAACTTGGTACTGAGTTTGGAAACTCTTCATCATGGCTTCATCAACTCTTCATCATGGTTTGAATTGGAAAAAGTGGCTGGGCAAATCCATGGAAAGGAGAAGCCACCAGGAGCTCTCATGGAGACACCATCTCCTGCTGGAGGAGCACCTGGCCCATCAGTGGCCAGGGCTGATGGGGAAGAGCTGCTTCCTCCATGGAAGGCTGCATGTTGGTCTTGGCATCTAAACCCTCCCCAAATCTGGCATTGCCCATCCTGGGTCATGGTGAGGTTTGACTTGAGTAGCTCTTCTCCAGCCTTGTGATGAGGGACACCAGCTCCACCACAGCAGTGGTGGCCAAATGCTCTTCTGAAACCTGGCCAGTGAGGTGAAGGACACGGAGAAGATGTTTATCCCTTCCCACCCCACTCCAGGATGCTGAGCACCCTCATGCCTTCCCATCCTGGCAAAGGCATTGCCTTCTGCTCTGTAGCACCTGCCCACCATTACTGTGTTTCTCTGCCACCTTGGCAAGACCTTGTGGCCTGGCCAACAGTGTTTTGCCTTCCAAGGTCTGGTCTGCCCTGAAGGTGGATCTCCAAACTCCATGTGCACCGTGAAGCTGCTCATCTGGGCAGATCCTTCCTGTGCTTGCAGGGACCATAGCAAGAACATCCCACCATGATACCACCCTGCATCCGCAGCATCGCCCTTGCGGGGCTGCCGCCCAGCCCACCCTACCTCATGTGCTGGGATTTCTCCTCCTGCATTCCCTACGGAGGTGTAGCAGACCCGGGAATAGGGCGGGTGTCAGCTCGGTGTCATCTTTCGGCAGGAATCCGGGAATCGGCTGCCTTGGTGCTAAATTTATCCCCAATTCCGAGAGGGTGTGCAGCCACCCGCTGCGGAGGTTGCTCTCACCCCAGCTCCCTGCTGAATTTTCCCCTTTTTTTTTTTTTTTTTTTTTTTTTTAAATAAAAAAGCAGTAGTTTGTTGTGTTTGTGTTGGGGCCAGCAAAGCCAACCCCAGCACAGCTGCCCAAAGCCGGGCTGGTGCAGCAGCAAACCTGCCACTGGCTTTTATTACCGCCCAGTTGTTGCAGGAGGAATTACAGGAAAGCATTGCCCAAGGGAGGGGTGTTGTGTTTTGTGTTTTTTTTTTTTTTTAATGCTGGTGGCTGCTCCTTCCTAACATTAGCACAGCAGCTGCCGTTTCTGTTTGTCTGAGCTGAACTTTTACTGCAGTACAGTAAAACAAAGGCAGAAAATGGAACCAAGTGGGTCAAAAAGAGCTGTTGAGAGCAGCTGTGAAAAGGAAACAAAGCCAAGCCTGTGTCGTCTTCGGCACCCAGCCCCTTCTGTCCCCCTTTCTCCCTTGCAGGAAGGACCTTCAGACACCCCGAGCTGCTTGGAGCATCCTCCCAGATCCTAGAGGATGTCTGTATCCTGAAGGGCTGTGCGTACACAGGAGCTTTTAGGAGGGTTTTGGGGTTTTTTTTTGGCACTGCAAACCTCTTGCTGCAGTGCTCAAAAAAAAAAAAAAAAAAAAAAAAAACCCAATTTAATGGCACAGTGCCTGGGTATGACTGACCCGAGTGCTCGGTTGCGGGAGGCTGCCGATACGTCAAAGTCGCCGCAGCGCCTTCGGTTTCCGTGCTGGACCAGGCATCTAACGGTGTCCCATGTGTCTGTCTGTGCAGGTGCAAATGCAGCCTCAGTGGCAAGCACAGGACCCCTGCAACGACGATGGAAAGGTGAGAAACGTGGTGGCTCTGGAAAGGCAAAATCGCTTCAGACAGTGTTTGTTTTTTTTTTTTTTTTTTTCCATCCAGAGCTTGGTTTCGCTCGAGCACCGCCGTTCTTAAAAATAGGGATGGCCGAGGTGGTTTCAAGCAAATGAGTCAGCGGCTAGGAATAGTGTATTTTTACACCTATTCCCCAGGCTTCACCTCCCAGCAACCTTTTGCTTTCCCTGGCCGTTCAAAACCCTCATTCCCACTCACTTTCTTCATGTGGTTTAAATATTAACACGCAGCCGAGCATCCTGTTTGCTTTGCCTCAAGCTCGCAACCGTTCAGCTATTTGGAAAGCTTTGGGCTCCCGGGATGCCTACAGTCAAATAACCTCAGGTGATTATTTTTTTCCTAGTGTGCTTTAGCAGCTGTTTAATTAAACTCCAAATGACTCGCACGCTTCTGGGAAGGGTTTTTCTCCTCTGCTGGGAAGGCAGAGCCGGGGCAGCCGGCTGTTCCCTGCCCTCCCTGTAATTGCTCCTTGGCCAACAGGTCTCTTTCTGGAAATCAGGAGTTGGGTTAGTGGCTGGATATTAAATAGATGAGTTGCACAGGGAAAACACTAAGCCCTAAAGCCTGGTTTTGGTTTTTTGGTTGATTTTTTTTTTTTTTTAAGAGGAAATCAGAGCATGTTGCAATTTGGAAAGCAGCCAGCCCCTGTTCTTGTCCTTCCCTTGCTTTTCCCTGGTAATGGTGATAGGCTGATTGCCGTTGATGAGCTGTACTGGAATTTCAGAGGAGAAGGCAGATTCTCCTAATTAAAAATTAAAGCTGACTTTTATTTTTAACATGCCTATTGTGTAACATGCTGAGTTAGAACAAATGCTCCCCTGTTTATTTTCAATGGGGGGGGGGAACCCCACCCTTTTATTCTACCAGGAACAGGCTTGAATGTTAATTTAATGTGAACTAATGGGCGTCTCAACAGACACATGATTTGTGGGTGGTGAATTCCTCGAGATGGATGAGGAATGCGCAGTCACATCCATGCTGGCATGGAGGTGGCTTGGCAGCTCCCTGTCCCACAGCCTTTAATCCGAATTTTGCATTTTAATCCTTTGGTAGCAGGCAACTGTGTGTGAGCAGGAACAGCCCAGTGTTCCCTCTGCGGGAGGAGAAAGCAGGGTTGCAAAATGCTGTTGGGAGAGTGGTTGCATGTGGACAGGGCTTGCAAATCTCTGCTTTGGCAGGGCGAGGAGGGATGCGAGGTTTGGGAAGAGGTTGAGTATCGGATGGTCCTTTGAGCAACCTGCTTGGGGAGGGGGGACCTGGTGACCTGCAGAGGTGCACAAGCTGCCAGCCAAGGATGTGGGGATGCTGCTCCAAGCCTCTCATCCCTGCAGGGAACGGGAACCAGAATTGCTCTGCTTGAGATTTGCACCCCAAGGGGATGCTGAGAGACAGAGGAGGGTAGATAACATTGGCTGCTGCCGTGCAGGTAGGAAGGAGATGCAAGAAGGAAGATGGTAGAGCACAGTAAAATTAGGAAGCGGGTTCATGCTGGCACCCAGCCAGCACTGTCCCAGCAGTGCTTGCTGCTCCCTGTGTCTTCAGGACTGTGGAGCTGAATGCTTGCCTTTGGCTGGTGTCAGGATAAGGGGACAAGAGCGAAGGTGCTGGGATCATGCTGTGGTCAACACCAGCCCCTGCTTGGCCCTGAACTTGGAGAAATCTATCCCACCAGGCTCCATCACACTTTAATGGGGTGCCCGTGGGAGCAAAGGTGAGACAGGGCAAACGAATCATGAAGCTGGAATGTTACTGGTGTAGCTGGTCACAGGAGCTGCTGCAGTGGAGGTCCCCGAGGGGTCTCGCATCTCTTACCCTGAAGCCTCGGCACCCGTTGGAGGTGTGGAACTGGGCTGTGCCTTGTTTTTAGCAAACAGCTGTAGAGCAGGCTTTTGGGGGAGTTTACCTGCTTGGGCATCATCACCCTTAGCCCCCAAGAGTGGTGCTTTGGGCTTTGATAACCTGAGAGCGTGTGATGGGTTGGCTCTGGCTGGACATCAGGTGCCCACCAAAGCTGCTCTATCACTCCCCTCCTCAGCTGGGCAGGGGAGAGAAGATGTAATGAAAGGCTTGTGGGTCGAGATAAGGACTGGGAGATCACTCAGCAATTACTGTCATGGGCAAAACAGACTTGACTTGGGGAAATCAGTTTATCAGAGGATAATGAGAAAATGAAACCTAAATCTTGAAACACCTTCCTGCCCCCCCCCTTCCCACCCCCCTTCTTCCTGGGCTCAACTTCACTCCCAATTTCGGGGTCCCTCCCACGGCAGACAGTCCCCCATGCACTGCTCCGGCATGGGGTCCTTCCCGGGCTGCAGGTGGGGATCTGCTCCCCCATGGGGTCCCTGGGCTGCAGGGGCACAGCCTGCCCCACCATGGGCTGTACCAGGGGCTGAGGGGAATCTCTGCTCCGGCGCCTGGAGCCCCTCCTGCCCCCCTGCTGCACTGGCCTGGGGGCTGCAGGGCTGCTCCTCTCACGTGTTCTCACCCCTCTCTCTGGCTGCTGTTGCACAGCTTTTTTACTCTTTCTTAACTATGCTATCCCAGAGGTGCTACCACCATTGCTGATGGGCTTATCCTTGGCCAGTGGTGGGTCTCTCTTGGAGCTGTCTGGCATTGGCTCTGTTGGACATAGAAGAGCTTCCGGGAGCTTCTCACAGAAGCTACCCCTGTAGCCCCCCTGCTACCAAAATCTTGCCATGCAAACCCAATACAGAGTGAGAAGGAGAATGAAGTTAAAATGCTCTGCTCTGGTTGCATGCTCCATCCTGGTGCTGCAGTTGTTCCTACAGGCGTGCGGGTCGCATTGCCCCTGCTGAGCGCTGGCGTGCCAAATGCCAGTGCTGATGCCCATCCCAGGTCACCTCCAGTGCCCGTTCTGGGTCAGCAGGTCCACTGGGAGGAGGCAGCCACCTGAATGCAGGGACCGCTTGCCGAGTATGGGCTGGGGGGAGTTGAAAGCCGGGATGCAGACCGTTTTGAGTGTGAGCCTATTGCATAGCATCCTCCCCAAGTTAATTTGCCCTCTCTTTCTTCCCCCCAAAGCTGGAAGGTGACAGACTGGCGCTGCCGGTAAGTCCCAGCCCGCTCAGCCCTGCGCCCACCCCCAGCCCCAAGCCCCCCGAGGCGGCCGTCCTCACCGTGGAGCCCTCTCCTTCGGAGAAGAAATGCTTCTTCGTCGATGAAGCGGAGCCCCTCCTGCGGTGCGACTCGACCTCCAGCGGCTCCTCCGCGCCCAGCCGGACAGGCTCTTTTATTACCAAAGGTACCAAAATCAGCCTGGGGGAGGGGGGGGAGGCCTGAAGGGATACCACGGTGTGTCCCCCTGTGGTCAGCATATGTGGCAGAGCTGCCCAAGGTTGTATCACTAAAGTAGGTTTAGGCTAGACATTCGGAAAAACTTCACTGAAAGGGTTGTCAGGCTCTGGAACGGGCTGCCCAGGGAGGTGGTAGAATCCTCATCCCTGGAGGTATTTAAAAGAAGGATAGATGAGGTGCTTAGGGACATGGTTTAGTGGTGGGATGGCACGGTTAGGTTAAAGGTTGGACTCGATGATCTCAAAGGTCTTTTCCAACCAAAGTGATTCTATGATTCTATTCTAAATAACTAGGAAAGCTCGCTCTCCAGCATATGTTCATTGCATCCTCGTTCCAGACCAGAATATCCTGTTAGAAAACATGATACAGATTGGAGAGGGGAAAACACCTTTAAAGGCTTATAACTTCTCTGGCAGAATTCAGAGAGTTAAAGCATCCTGGGATGTTTGAGGGAGATTTCTCCGGCCTTGTTCCTGCTTGCTGCAGCATGTGACTTGAGATGTAAATCATCATTGGTCGCCTCCCCCTTTTTTTGAGGGGGTTTAATTTACTGCATTTAACTTGCTGTTTTTAATCTTCTTTAACTTTTGATGAAGATGAAACACTGAGCTCAGTCAGTCTACAGAATTTATACTGGGGTGTGGAAATGAAGCTGACCCAACAAAAACAACTCAAAAGAGCAGAATTCAGCTTTTTTGGCTCCCCTCCTGCCTTCATGTTTCCATATTGGCTGTTCAGCATTTATAAATGCTGTGTTTGCTCTAGCAGGATCCTGGATTGGGTGCCTCAGCAGCGCTGGCTTCTCCATCTTCTCCCTTCCCCATCACTCATCACCTTCCACCTTTTCCCTTGGTTCTCCTTGCCATGTGTCCTACCCCAGAGGTGGCACGAGGGGATGGACCGAGGTCTCCCAAGGAGAACACGCCCTGGTTAGTGGAGGTTTCTTGACCAACTTCTCCTTTCCTCCTACAGAAAAGAAAGACACCGTCCTGCGCCAGGTGCGCTTGGACCCTTGCGACCTGCAGCCCATCTTCGACGACATGCTGCACATCCTCAACCCTGAGGAGCTCCACGTGATAGAGGAGATCCCACAGGCCGAAGACAAGCTGGACAGGCTATTTGAGATCGCCGGAGTCAAGAGCCAGGAAGCCAGCCAGACCCTCCTGGACTCTGTCTATAGCCACCTTCCCGACTTACTGTAGGCACTGGGTCACCACACACTCTCTGAATATCTGCTAGAGCTAGCTTGGCACTTGTTAAGATGACTGACAATATGCGGGCAGGTTTTGTTGTAGAATTTATGGCCAGTATTTTCGTTGAGGTGTCTTTGGTTTCTGGAGGGGGGGCAGTTTGCCAGCGTTGCACCCCTCCACCTTAACTCTGTTGCTCAGTCCAAGTCTTTGCACCCTCTGCCCCCTTCCTGAGCATCTCTTCTCCTTGTTCTCATTCCGATCAGATCAGTTGATGCACTTTAAAAAAAAAAAAAAAAAAAAAAAAAAAAAGCAGTGAAAGAACTAAAAGACCACGAATCTGGTGTAATTTAACACATCGAATTGGGGATTGCTCTGTAACCCACTTCTTCTGTCAAAGCTGTCGCTCGGAGTGACCATCTCCCACCACCTCCCTTCGCCTCGGAGCGGTAAATGGCAAAACCACACAAAAAAACCCAAAACCCTTAATCGTTGCTGGTTACCATCTCTTAACGCAGCTAAGCTTCCCACCTGAGCTGACTTTTTTTTTTAATGTACTATTGTATAGCTCATATCCATTGCTGAGCTTTTACTAGCACGGTTATTTATTGTACGGTTTTCAGCCGGACAATGCATCGCGCTCCTATAAGCTAAAGCAGAAGTGCTTTAAACGCAAAGAAAAGGGTCAGTCCCACCAACCTTCGAGGCGATGAAAAGGTCCTTTGCCTTCAGTTGAATGTAAGGAGTTTTACCTTGCCTTGCTGCTTGCGGGAACGGCGGGGCCCCGAGGGGAGCCGGTGCTGGACGTGGGGGGGCGAAGGCTGCCGCCGGGGCTCCTGCTCTCCTTGTGGTGTAAGACTTAAACCAAGCTACGCTTTTACACTCGTGTCTCTTGTTTTTTATACAGATGTGGCCGATAGGTTCTCCAAAGACCTTACCCGGTCTTAATAGTCTCTTCAAATCACACTTCACTTTTTATTTAAAGAAAAAAAAAAAAGGGGGGGGGGGGGGCTGCATCATAAGTCTGTCTGATTATATTTGCAACTATTATGCTCCCGTAACAAACAGTCTGTACTATGCTCAATTTGAAGAAATCATGATATGAGGGTGGCGTGTGCTGCCCCGTGGGAAGGGGTGGGAGTGGGGGAAGAGGGGAATGAATTGAAAAATTGCCTTCCAGTGTACTAATTTATTAATAAATACTAGGTGTTTGTTACTTGACATGATTCTGTGTTAACCTCCTTAACCTCTGCCTCTGCTCCCGGGGCACCTGGGTTAGAGCAGGGGCTGCCCAGGTGCTGGCTGGGGGATGAAGAGGGGGATTTGGGGGCTTGGGGGGGTGGTGAGGGGGTTGTCTCCTTTAGCTCCGAGGCCAAAATGCAATTGCTTTCTGTTGACAGTGCTGCCCTGAGCCCCCGTGGTCGCTGCCGGAGCTCTCTGCAGCCGGGGGTGGATGCTTCCCTGCAAGGCAGGTCCCTGCACCGAGCTGGGGTGGGAGGTGTGTTAATCCCCATAATGGTGAGCAGGTCAGATGGCTGATGGGGCTTCCAGGGTTGTGTTTTGCAAGTTCTCAAAGGCCTTGCAGGTATTTTGGGGGGGCTGAAGTATCAGTTTTCCAGGGTGCAGCTGCTGTGCTAAGTCGCCCCTTGCAGTCGCGGCGTTTCTCTTGCCCCATTACGTTACTGATGTTCTTCAAGTCTCCGCTTCCAAATAACTCATCCCTTGTTAGTCTGTCTGCAAATTGAGACCTTAATAGGACAAATGCTTCTGGTTTACAGTACTGTCATTTTGCATACTTACCTCCAGAGTGTTTTCTGCTAACTAGGGTGCTATGTTTTCCTTCTGGCTGGCATTGAAATTTGCTGTTACAGGACTATACATAGGTACAAGATTAAAACTTTTCAACACATGGACAGATGAAATACAGTGTGAAATAGCAAGAGCCTTTATTGGGAGTGCTGGGGTGGCGTTTTCCCTCGCTGGCCATGAAGCATTGAGCTCTCGGTGGCTGCAACGTGTCTCCAAAGCATCACGAAGAAATAGCGAGCGTGGCGTGTGTGCCTGGCATAGACCAGGTGGCTAACAGCAGTATTTTGGGGTGGAGGCCAGTACCACCCTGTTGGCAAATGGGGTTTTTTTTTATCTCTGTGTTGGGAGCGGTGGTGGTTGCTGTTGATCTGCCTGGGCAAGAATTGGCAAGGGGAGGGAAGGCGTGCGATCGTGGGCCTGATCAATAGCTTAAGCCAAGCACAAACCACTGGCTTTAATTTATCCTTGGCAGGCTCTCCGAGTGAGTCCAGCTGGGAAATTGGGGGTACTGGGGGTTTATCCTTTTTTGATGGTCCAGGTTCTCGCGGGTACCCCCATAGGTTGTAAGCACCAGAGCCATCGTGCCACCCTCCCAGGGCACCGCCAGCCCCCTCCCACAGCTCTGCTTTCCATCCTGGCAGCCACCATATTTTCTGATGGGCTTTGAAGGTAAAGCAAAACAAAAAAAAGGGGTCCTGGAAAGTGGATTTAGCAGCCAGCTGAAGAGATGCCACGAAGCAGGCATGTCATGGGGGTGCCTTGGCCAGGAGGCACTGAGGAGGCACAAGGAAGCTGTAGAAGTGGGTGCAGGTGGGTCCCCAGGATGTTGGGATAAATTTAACTCATCTTGGTGGCTAGGTGGTGGGACAGGCCAAGATGTGGGCAATCCTTAGCTCCATCTGTGCTGTGCACGCTTCCAGCATCACTCCCTCCTTTGCTTGCACCTGGATGTTGGTCTTGGCCCTGGCTCCATCATTTCCCATTTCCGAGCTGTGCCCTCTAAGCAGCCCTTTGCTGTATGTGTGTGCAATATATTTACTATACATCTTTCATATATACAAATGCTATATATTAACATCTGCTACATAAATGTTTTCTATATTATGTAATTTCTGTGTTATTTCTTTATTATGGATTTATATATGCATGTAGAGTATATATATAAATATTTGATGTATCTGGGGGTGTGCAGGGCAAATGTCTGAGAGCAGCTGAGCCACGCATATAGGCAGGGTATTTCCTGGCAGCGTGGGAGGTGTGAGGAGCCGCAAGCCCAGTGCTCCCACCCTTCCTCCGAGCCAGCTCTCTTATACCTTAAGAAAATAAACCAGGCACAGATGGGTTGGTGACCTGGAGGCATAACCCCATGGCGTGGGGAGAGATTGTCCTTGTCCTCCTGCGCGGCTCATGTGAGGCATCCAGGGCGATGCAGAAACTTTGCATGCCACGACACCAGTTGCGTGCGATTCAAATGTTTGGCCAAATGGGTTTAGCAAGGCAAACCTGTGAATATAAAGACCTTGATAAATATATGCATAAAAATACTTTTTGTGCAAAATATGCTTAAAAAAAAAAAAGGACTCCTGGGTGTGCATCGTAGGTGAGAGGTGCAGGTTCGAGGTGTGTGGCTGGGCTTTGCCCCTCGCCTTGCATGCTCCGTCGTGGCGCTTGCTCCTTGCACGCTGTCCTTCACCTAGGGGCAGTGGGGAGGGGGGGGATTTGGGCGCTGGGTCCTGGGTGGCAGAGCCTGTTAAACCAGAGGGGATGGGAGGCAGGAGGAGAGCGCAGCCGTGCTCCCCAGCTCTGCCTGCTGTGGGCATCTCGCACCGGGGCAGGGGCTGAGATTTCTTGTGTAGATCACGGAACATCAGCTGCTGCTGTCCTGCTTGCTGCGGGCTTGGACATCAGGTGTGAAAATTGCGTCTTCCTCCCAAGGTCACAGTGTTTGCTGGGACAAAACCCTCTGGAGATGCCTCCAGCATGACCTGGCATCCTCAGGACAGGATGGCTCTGCTGTTCCTGGGTCTTTTAATGCCTTCAACGCAAATGAGGTTTGGGGTGATTTTTTTTTTTTTAATTCTCTTTTCTTTTTTTTTTTTTTTCCATGAATTGCAAGCATTCCCTGCAGAAGAACAAGGTGTCTGGTGTGCTTTTCTCCTACCCCAGCCCAACTGGAATTTATCCCAATGGGGAATTAACAGTAGCCCTCCTGTGTGAGTGCTGCATTCCAGGTTGGAAAAGCAGCCGAGGTCTTGCGGGAGGTTATTCAGCCCTCCGGCTCCTTCCACATCAGCTAATTGCTGGTGAATTGCAACACAGTCTTCGCGTGGGAGGAAACATCTGTGCAGCCTTTGTGTGAATAACCTGCGGGGAGGTCGGGGGCGATGCCGCCCACGGGTGCCCCATGGGCTTGGCGTGGGGTATAGGGGTTATTCGGGTTTTCTTCTCTTGGCCTGTGCTCCTGCGAGTACCGCAATGGGGGAGTTTTCAGGGCACCTGGTAGGGAATGGGGAGATGGAGGAGACAGAAGAGGAGCCATCACTTTGTGTATTCATGAGGTATATGCCTAGTGGTGACACCCCCTGACATGTCTATCAAGCCAGCTTTTAGGACATGGCTGCTGCTTCACCATGAGAGCATTTGAGCTTTACAGTTTCCTTCCCTCTGCTGTAATTTAATTTTCCTTTCCAGCTTCCCACCCTTTCTCAAGTGTTTTCTTAACCAATATAACCCAGAAAAAAGCAGGAAAAAAATTAAACCAGAAGCATCCAAATGACATTGGATCAGCTGTTGATGAAGATGCTGGCCAGCAGCGCAGGCAGGGACTTTGTGGGGTTTCCTAAACTCACACCAACTTTTCTGCGGCTTTAGGTGCTGTTACAGCCGGGCAAGGTTCTCATCTCTGTTCTTTAGGTGCCTAAAATGCTCCCAGAGTATCTGGCTCTGAAGTCACATAAGCAACGTTAGAGATGTTCCTCTCTCTTCTGCGATTTGCTATGGCTGCATCATTAACCTGTAACCATGATCTAATTCAACATCAGGAGACAGTCTTTCCTCTGAGATTTTTGGGGAGGAAAAAAAATTAAAAGTTTTTAAAGTGTTGCAACCCTGCAAGCTTTATTATTTTATTTTTAATTTTTTTAAATTTCTTTCTCATTTTTCTTTTTTCCTTTTATGTTTCTTTCTTCTTATTTTCCTGATGCTAAAGAAGGAAATCTCTTGTTCAGGGCCTGACTGGAACCTTGCTAACCCCCACGTAAACTCATAGTGGGCAAGCTACAGCCACAAACACACAAATTACAGCACTTTCCCTTTGGATTTTTCTTCCCCAGATGCACGTGAGTCCCTAACCTGGGGACCTCCCCCTGAAAATGGCTAGGAAAGGAGTGGAGATGGAGAAGAGCCCTACGATTGACCCTTTTTAGTCCTAATGCTGGGAATAAGCTGCCACACGCAGGCAGGAGCTCCTCGGTCAACGGCAGCAGGTCAGGGTGGGGAGCTGAGCCAGGCAGGGCTCCTGCCCAAATTTTTGTATAAAAAGCAGGTGGTCAGACTACAGGGAAGGATGGGGGAGATGTACATGTAGGTCCTCCTTAACCCAAGGGGGGTGACATGGTAACATCTAGGCCAGGCATCCTCTTGTTTTCCTCTGGCAATCTTCTACCCTTGCAGGTCCATGGGTCCAGCTTCAGCGCCAGGAGTGGAAATGCCTTTTTTATTGTTGGAAACATCATCATTTTTTGGCTCACCTCATCCCTAACCTCAAAAACACCTGTGCCCAAGATGAAAGACTTCTGTTTTGCTGTAAAAATCAGGCATGCTGTCTTGTTTTCTTCCCTTCTTCTTCAACAGCAGGTTTGGAAGGGGTTGAGGCTGTCCATCAGGAGTTTGGGATCTTTATTAAACTGTATGGAGGCCCTCAGTCAAAACAAGAGAGATCCCAGGTGAGTATAAGGAGAAATTTTTCCACCCTGAGGACAGTAGAGCAGGTCAGATGGAGAAGTTCTGACCAGATAAAGCCTCGAGCAACCTGGTCTGACCCCAGAGCTGGCCCTGCTCGAGCAGGAGCTTGGACTGGAGACCCCCTGAGGTCCTTTCCAATCCTAGATATCTATGGTCCTGTAAGCTGAAGTGCAAAGTAATGAAGCTTTGGGGTTTTTTTAATTATTTAAAATTGTTTGACTCTTGAATATTACCATGAGGCAGCAGAAAGCATTTGCCTTTTGTCGAAGACAGCTTACTCTGGATTCCTACCTACCTGCCAGCTTGGACTTCAGCAGTGAGCTTGTGTTTCTCTCAAAGGGCTTCACCAGGGGATGGATTTTTATCCAGTGCTCTGCTAAATATCACAAACATATTTTGCCAGGCTCCCAATAGTGCAAAAGGTGCGACCCAAACCTAGGATTGAGATTTCCCCAACACTGTCCAGATCCTCTGGGCAGCAAAAGGTCTGTGTGGCATGTGAGATGTGTGCCCTGCAGAATAAAAGCAATCTCCAATTAAGCAGTAACAGGATTTAGGAAGAGATGAGCTGCTGTGTCTGAGAGAGGTGTTTATGGAAGCTATCTTCTGAAGCAGTAGTTTCACAACACAGTGACTTGGATGGCAAATCCAGCTGAAGGACCTCCTGTTCCTGGGTGCACCACCTGGCCTCCATGGTGTGGTGCACCTCCATGGTGCCAGGACAAGCTGTGGGGCAAGCTGGACTGGTCCGTGGAGCTGCAGGAGGAATGAGAAGTAGTGGTGAAGCTGGTCCCCTGCATGAAGCTCCATGTTTTCAGAGCGGCCCCAGGCAGAGCCTGGGCTTCCCAGCAATTCCTAGTGCTAGAGATTGTTCTGCCCACGGGCCACTCCAGACAGCAGCCTGGATGTGGTCACCTTGTCTAGGGTGACTAAGAGGGTCAGATGGTGTGGACATGGCTAGACCATGCCAGCTGGCTGCCTTTTTGACCCCTTGGAGCACCTTTCTGCCATCTCACACAGGCTGTTAGATGCAGATTTGTGGAGGCATTCAGTACACGTATGCTGAAGGTTTGCTCTGCCTCCGCCCTTTTCCCAGCTGAAGGGCCCAGCCTTCCCTCTTGCGCCAGTTCTCATTTCCATCGCACCATCGTCCAGCTCTGGAGCCCTCAGCACAAGAAGGACATGGAAGTGTTGGAGCGGGTCCAGAGGAGGGCTACAAAAATGATCCGAGGGCTGGAACACCTCTCCTATGAGGACAGGCTGAGAGAGTTGGGCATGTTCAGCCTGGAGAAGAGAAGGCTGTGGGCAGAGCTGATTACAGCCTTTCCGTACCTAAAGGGGGCCTATAGGAAAGATGGGGACAATCTTTTTAGTAGGGCCAGCAGTGACAGGACAAGGGGTAATGGTTTTAAACTAAACCAGGGTAGGTTTAGTCTGGATATAAGGAAGAAATTCTTTACAATGAGGGCAGTGAAACACTGGCACAGGTTGCCCAGGGAGGTGGTGGAGGCCCCATCCCTGGAAACATTCCAGGCCAGGTTGGACGGGGCTCTGAGCAACCTGATCTGGTTAAAGGTGTCCCTGCTCCTGCAGGGGGGTTGGGCTGGGTGACCTCTAGGGGTCCCTGCCAACCCAAAACATTCCATGATTCCATGATTCTGTGATTCTATGGTTCTATGATTTGGCTGAGCCAGTTTAACTCACTAAAACTTCAGATCGCTGCCTGCTTTCTTGCTGGGGTGGTTGGGAGCAGAGGGACCTGATGGGAGGGATGGGGAACCTGCCTGTTTTGGCAGCTGTGGACATTTCTGGCAGCTCATGGTTGTCGCGCTGTACCCCAAGCCCTTGAACTTTGTGGTGCTTGGTGGATCCAGGCCAATGCACCCTTAGGTCTCTGCACTCCTGCTACCCCATTTCTGCCCCAAGCCCTGGAGGGACCCCTTGGCTCCAAAGGCAGCTTCACCTGTCTGCTCCCTTCCCTCTATGGATGAGATTAATTTTGCTTTGATTTAATTTGAAGGGAATGAGTTAGTCTGCAAGCATGCTAATCTCAAAATACATTTCTGGGCACGGGAGCTTTTGCCAGGATCTGTCAGCGGGAAAGCAGGACATTAATCTGCCTGACTTTGTTTCTGGCAGCTCAGATCTTTCCAGGCTGATACTTGGCGAGGATTAGATTGATTAAATCGCTGATCTTTCAGGATGCTTCGGTGGGCTGATGAATGCTTTTCATGGCAACCGCTTCTCTTTTACTGGTAATAATAATTTACTATCAGAATAACTAGTTGTCTTACAGGTCTCCCAGTGAGCAGAGGCTGGCAGTGTTACTGTCATTTTACAGGTGGGGAAACTGAAGGATGGAGGTGAAACTTCCCATCAGCAAACGGAGCAGAAAGAAAATCAGGGTGGGGTGAAATTCAGAGAAAGGCGTCGCCTTGTCAGACCCCGAACCCATCTCCCTCGAGGAGCACATGGGTAAGATTTGGGGTTTGAAGTGCTGAGCCCCAGCAAACGGGGAGGGTTGGAGGCAGTGTTCCCAAACCACGCTTTCCATTAATTAATTTGCCTGTTAAGCTAGTTTTTGAGCTGAAAACAAATCCACATCCATGCTGGCTCCCTGGATAGTCTGTCTGCCTTCCTCTTGCCCCATCTCAACACATGCAGCTGGGAGGAATGTCCAGTTCTGGAGCTGAGCCAATGGTCCTCCATCCTCTGACCCTATTCTCCCCAGAGAAAACCACTCACTCCTGCCTTTTGCCCCAGCCTGTTCTGCCTCCCCAGAGCAGGGATGGTCCTTCTCTCTGCCCCATGCAAGGGCACAGCATGGCAGTGACGCCTGTATGGCTGTTGAGGGAGGGAAGACCTGAAATGGGTGAGTGGATCTCTTGCCTTTGCAAGTGAAGCGGTTCCACGTGGCTGGAGGATTCACACCTGGAAATCACAGCTGGCCACAAGAGGCAAAAACCTTCTCATCATTTTTTGGGCGGGGGGAGGGAATTAAAGCTTTTGAAATGCAACATCTTAAAGGTCTTTTCCAACCTAAACGGTTCTATGATTCTATGATAGCAAATAAAGCATTCACACATTTTTACCTCCTTTTATGTTTTTCTCATTTTCTTCCATTCCCAAGGACCTCCAACTCCATCTGGCCGTCATTTCTGCCATGGGAGGATGGAGGAGCAGGGACTGGCAGCAATGGGAAGAGGATGGGCTGCTGCTATGCCAGCCTCTGGGATGGGGGGCACCTCCAGATCCCCCTGTGGGAAGGGAGCACCCACCTGCCATCCCCAGCTTGGATGAGCTGTGCAAGTGGGTTGGCAGCTTGTAAGTTGACCTGTGCCAAAGCCAGGCTGGGGACCGTCCAAAAAATTCTTTACTGGACAGTAAAGATGAATTAACCAGCCCAGATGCAGTCAGACCACCTAAAGGAGGTGTCAAGATGGGGCATCAACCCTTTCCCCCACCCCTGCTGTCATCATATTATATAATTTCCTTTTTTTAGATGACACTTAAACTTGAAAACAGATTGCTTTTTCTTTTTTCCTCACCTCTGCTCTCTTATGTTCTAATGGTTGGGAAGTTTCCTCTAATTAAA